TGTACTAAACAGAGTAGAGTCTGTACTTCTATTTGCACCCACGTGTGAAAAGTCAAACGGTGTGCTTGGCCCTGAATACATTACCAAAGGAACGAACACGTACACAAGAAGGGCAAAAGTGGCGGCTAAGGCGATTAGCTGTGTAATTGATAACGATATCTTGGCATTTAACATGGTGGCAAACAAAAAGTGCGCCGGCTTTCGTTCCTGAAATATTTACTCAAGCGGTTTACATATCACCGCATATATTCCACATGATTTACTATGCCTCCACACAGAAGGACCACTGTAAAGAAAATTATGTCTCGTTCACGCACCCTTTTTTCTTCAACATGTCGGCCTTTACATTTCCCAAGGGTTTGTGGATAGTAGAAATTAGCACACTTTCGTTTCCCAGAAAAATCAGTACCGTTTCTGTTCTGTTTCTGTTCTGTACTAGAACGGGACGTGTAGGTCATGTATGCTGAGTGTAATATTACGACTTATGAACTGTTTGTTTTTGGGATTTCGTGGCCACTTGCAAACGTAGAGGGCTGAGCCAAAACTGAGGACGGGATGTAATGTATGGTAATTTAAAAGGACAGCAACGTCTACTCTTTTTGTTGTCCATTTTTATTTTCGGTGGAGGTGGGGGGGGGGGTTACTTGAGTCCTACCCTTCTTCCTTTCTTCCTAAATACATGTAAAATCGTCCATTTGTATTGTAGACATTGCAGGCTATCTCTATCATGTCTAAGATATGTACCCTATGTAACAATGGTATAGCCCAATTTCGTCTTGTCAAGGTCATTCGTTACGCAGTTAGCAATAGTGAACTAAAATAGGGTGAAGGTCAATTCCTACCCCTGGGAATAGTGGTACTTGAGAAGATCGTGCCACTTGCCCTCTGCAAACTTCCTTTTGGGAATAGGTAATTACAACATGTTTAAAAAATCACGTCTTGCCAGACCCTTGTTAGAACTGTCGGCTCAGTTTTCGGGGAGGGTGGGAGAAAACTGCAACGGAAGCTGCTAAAACAACAAGAATGTAAGAAAAACAATGAATCAGTGTCAAAGGACAGGTCTCCTAGACTCGGCAGCGGAAATTTATGTTTGACTATTTGGATTTGTGGGGTCGTTACCAAACGAGGAAAGGTGTTAGACATTTAATCTTTATCTGTATACATTCAGGTTGATTCATTGCTTTACGCTATATATTTTTTGGCAGAGCGGAACCTTAAAAACACCACACAGTAAAACAATCTCATGTACAATACAGTACATGTAGTTACTGTAAGTCTACAAATTTCCGCGGTATATTTAGATTCGCGGAATTCGCGGGGACCTTTGTACCGCGAATCTATTTCCCCGCGAATATGTTTTGCGTAAGTGCGTCCCCCTCCCCACATGCATTAACGACGGTAAGCGAAACACAAACACACGCAACAAACACAAATCACTGCAAATCAACTTTATTCTTAGCAAATGTACGTATGTTGAGTACCAAAATTTTTTTAAGTTATACTGATGTCAAAAAATTATAATATCATGAGACACCAAATCGCGATACTGCGGCACTGGCCGTGTCAAACGTGCACCGCCGGACAAAAATCTCTGTGTGCAGCGCGCCGGCCATGCGCGCCCGGGCGCTTGAAAATTGCGGGCACATCGGGTATATCTACAAATATTTTGATTAGAAATATAACTGCTGGTATCTGGGAAATGTTAGTTGATTCTCTTTTGCGCTCTGCTTTGCGGGCGTTTTTTTTTTTTGCCGGATAGAAACGTTACCGTGGGCCGCTACAAAACCGAAGGCGACCTTTGCATACTTCCGGGTTCAAAATCTCGCCGAAGACGGCATAAATATTTTTAGTAATATATATTTTCCCGAAAGATTCTTTCGATCATGCATTTCTTCACTAGAGTATCGATGTGTAGTCGTGGAAAATAGCGTTTTAGCGCTTATTTCCAAACAAAGAAAATTGTTTACACGTGCGTCAGATCGATCGTCAGCTATACCACCGGCAGCCTCGCGCGGTGCACGAAACAAATTTTTGCGCCGCGTTTTAGGATATAAATGCCGGAACACGACCTTTTATTATTTTAAATATACACTTTACAAATTTTTCTTTGAAAAATAGCCAAGGAGAAATCGCGAATCTAAAAATACCGCGGATTGTCCATTTTCCCGAAACCGCGAACTTTAGGCCCCGCGAATCTAAAGAGACTTACAGTACCTCGATCAGTGTCCAATTATTTCTCTCGCACTTTGTTTCAAACTTTGACATGTTTTATTTGCTGTAGACCAAGGACTTCCTTGGCTAGACGCCCCAAGTTTCTCCCGTCTCGTCCGATGTTAGTCTAGACTATTGACCAGTATTACGAATGTATCTTTAGGGGACTAGGGAAGGGTTATACAGAGGAACTGCTCCTGGGTCCCTAGGGGTCACATGCGTCATCTCCTATCGTGTTGGTGTCTGAAAATCCGTACGTGTGAGTCACGCTATCTCTCTGTCTGCCTCTGAACCTGAACTCTGCCGAGAGTTTTCACACAGACAAGCCTGCGTCGCCAGAAAATCAGTTCAAGATGCCCAGCAAGACAAACACATGATTCGGCTGACCCCGCGAAAGCTTAGAGGATTTATTTTGAAAGTTAGATCAAAGGAACTCAACGAAAAGAATGGATGTCTAGCTGCGTGTTCAGCGAAATCAATCGTCGATTTTCTCGGTATCATTCATGGAGGAAGTGCTGTCACTTGATAAATCATGATTTGTACTGGACCCAACTCGTTTAAATCGCATCTGCATAAGGCTCATGTAGCTGAGTCGAACCTGATTCTGGGTTGCCGATCTCAGAGGAGCATTTAAAGTTAAGTACGTGGGACCCGAAATGCCAGGATGTCACTATTAAAAAAAATAAAGGTAACTAGACGTGACTCAAATAAGCTTCATGAACTACACACGGGTATAAAAACAGCGGAATATCGTGTCAATGAGAGGAACTGATAGAAGGAAGCAGCTGGCAACGAGCCCGAAATGTGTGGGTGCCAACCTTTCCAAATGCCAGCCAGTGGAATGGAAAACAGGAAGGAACGAGTTAGAAGGAGAAAATGCGTGGTTGCGTCACTGTCCAGTCGTCTGTCCAACGATCTAACAGACTTCACCCTCGTGGAGTATAAAAAAAAAAAGAAAGAAAACAAACACATCAAAAAAGAAAACAAAGAGGAAAAGCTAGAAACGATTGCCAGAACCCCAATTGAAGTGATAGGCAAAGCAACTTCTCGATTTCAATCATTTTCTGAATATGATAATTGAATAAAGCTTCAATTTCCTCTGGGAAACAAAATATAAAGACGAGAAGCAAAGTAGTCGCAACAAAGGGCGCCACACTGATCAATACGCGTACGGACATACGGTGGTATTTTGAACGATTCTGACGGTGTTCAACCCTAAAATAAGACAAACCCTGCGGCACAAGTCTCCCACGGAAGTGTGCAAGCCGTCTAGGGAGCGAGAACCCTATTTAAAATGTTTTATCCACGCCCTAATCGAAAGGCTGTTCAAAGAGTCTAGAATCTGTCCTCTACAAGTATTAAACCTTAATTACGCTTCGCTGTTGACCCGGCCGTTGACCCTTGACTACGGAAGTGAAGAGGGCCAGGGCGAAAGGAATAAATAGATTGCACCCAAAATATGAAATTTAAAACTAAAGGGGACCAAAAATAACAACTGATTATCACCATGACGAAAGACATTTTCTCACAGTGTATGTTTTATCCCTTTGTTTGACCTCCAAGCAGCGAAGCAAAAATGCCCCCCTCCCCTTTCCAATCATTAGGAAATTCCAGCGATCCTGTGGAGGTCAAAAGGGTTCGAGGTGGAGACCTTAGCCCGGGATGTTTTAGTTGAATCAAGCTGTGTTTTTGGAATAGATTCCGATACTCTTAAATAACCCATAAATTGGGAAAATCTGGTGCATAACGTCAGGCCTAGGAAGAAGGTTGTGTTTCCCGTTTCAGTCCTGAAAAAAAATAGGATCGGTAACTTCTCTCACGTTATTATATTAATATATAAATTAAATGTCAATGTGGTAAAACCGATTGTACAACGTTTCATCACTCCGGTGTCAGATCATATAGAGCTAGAAAAGGTCGATCAGCTCTAAAAATTTATGTCTCTTGCAGGGGTCCTCACAAAAACGGTTACGGTCGGCAGTTTTTTGTAGGGTCGGTCGGGAAACAGGAAACACAACTTTTTTTTCCTAGGCCTTGTTATATAAGATTCCCATGATGCACCTGGGGAACAATTGTGTTGATGTTGTGGAAATGTAAACAAGCCCACGTGGCGTAACAGACAGGTACTTAGGCGTTTCTTTCTGCGTGTTTGTCTTTGTGGTTACCATTGGTGTCAAGTGCTAAGGAGGTCAAAAACCGAGTTATCACTTCTGAAAACGTGGTCATACTTCTAGTATGTTGATGTGGGGGAGGGGGAGTGGGTACTAGTAATGGGTGTGTGGGATGATAAAAGGAGTTAGGCCACATGAGATGCTCTTTAGCTTTTCTCCTTTCTCTAGAATGTTTGGCTTTAGCATGGACCACACATTCCGTGAACATGTTTAAGTTAACCTTTGTCGACCACAGTTGTCCCCACATTTTCCAACAAATTCAGGAAACAATTTGGCTGTTTTGTAAACTGGAACATTTGTTTCTGTTCACAGGACGGGCAGCCAACAGGACTAATAAGGTAAGTAACACCAACAAGGACCCACAACAGATAAATAATGTGTAGAACAGAGAACAGGCCCATAGAAGGTTATATGGATGTTTTTACACACTCTTAATTTTAGTGTTACCTCCTTGGACACATTTACCATTGACAGGACTTTGATTATAGAAAAATTGACAAATATGTTTGATTGACAAATATGTTCAATATTTATTTCATTTGAGTGGATGGTTTGTACTTTTGCTGTATTTTCTGTACTGCAAATACTGTTATTGCACACTGTAAACGTGCTGTCTTTTTCTGTTCTTGCTTATTCTTTGATTACATAACTAAGTAGTCATCTCTGAATATGAAATATTTGTTATACTTTCTGAGAGATATCCACTGTTGCTCCTGTTCTAAAATCCTTTTGGAAAATATTTGACATCTTCAGAGATGGCCTAGAATGCACCTATCAACGTTTGGTGTTGAGAAAAGTTGTACTGCTTTTGTATTCATGGAACAACATATTGATGACTACTGTTACATAGTATATAAGACATGGAAAGAAATTATGCTTGCTTAATGTATAATACACTTGTGTTGATAGGTGCATTTTGTGATGGTTGGTCATTGTTTAGACATGCTTTTATGCTTAGAAGTACTGACGCTACGATGTTGGTACAGTGACAAAACAGGTAAATAAGCAATATGTGTTTGGGGTGCAGTTTCATGTTGGTTTAAACTTAACAATACATTTCTATCAATTAAAACTACAAATAATTTTCAACAGATCACAGCTATTTGTGACAAAAGAAACGGAAAATATAAAGAAAGGAATAGAAACAAATTTATGTTCTTTGCAACCAGTTTGAGGCTGCACTTCAAGTAGAGGTTAGGCACAGAGGTAAAATGCGTACATTGTTTTGCAGAGAGTATCTAGTAGGGGTGCAAAGGTAAAAGCAAAACCAGTGGTGACAGATACTCAGGTAAGAAGGTATCAGCAGCACACTCATACTGGCATGGACTTCATCTGGGATGGTAAACAATACCGCCATGTCGTAGAAATGTAACACATTTATTTTTACCTTTGTGCACATGTGACCCACAGTTTCCACATAGACTGAATCTACTGTGCAGTACAAAAAATGCTATAATTGGTTGATCATGGAAGACATTTTTCAAGTCACAGCTAAAAATGGAAGACATTTTTTCAAATGTTTGTCACAGCTGGAAATGAAAGACATTTTTTCAAAAGTGTTTGAAAATGAACAGATTCGTATCAGTAGATATCTACCACAGATACTAATTTCAAAGGCACTGTTGTAAAAATACTCATAACTGAAGACAGTTGAAAGATACTGTCTGACATCTACTCATAATGCTGAGATCTACTGTCAAGTCTGAGGGGTTCAACCGTTCAAGAATCTCATGGTCATACCAGATGTGTTGTGTCACATGATCTGAAAGAGGAGGATCCTGGGATTTCATTCATTGCCTTCTTTGCTCAAAAGATGAACTCAAAAGATGTGTTACATGATAGTCATTTCCATTTTCAGCTGAGGGGTTGAAATCCAGTAAAAAAGAAATTCTCTCTAACTGTTTTTAAGGTTTTTGGTAAGATGTGCTGCAGAGTGGATATAGTCCATTGTTCCTTTCCTGTTTTTTTTTGACATTGACACAAGTGTAGTTCTTTAGATGTGTGACAGTTGTTTTTAGAACTACTTTAGAATTTTTACCAATGTGTCTAGATGCTTTTCAACTGTGAATTACAATGAATGGAAACACATTACTTGTCTTTGACCATTTGCAATTCTATGGAAACCCACAAAGAGCTGGGCAAGACAGGTAATGCCCTAAACTATAAAAGCATCCAATGCAATTTCAGGGCAGCAAAAGAAAAAAAAAATATTCTGGATGAGGAAATCTGTCTGATATTGACATTTACTGCTATTTTTGTCATCATTTCATACTTGGAGTATTTCAAATAGCCCCAAAACAGGCTATGTGAGGTGTCTCTATTTTTTGGGGTACCGCCCATAAATAGCTAGAATCAGCCTACAATACAAATTAAGCAACTGTTTTCCATCAGCGACATAGCATTTTTACCTTACAGACATATCAGGATGCTATTGGATATGATTTAATTTATTACTACTTGTACTTACTACTTTAAGTTACATTCCAGAAAATTGACATTGTAAATCCAGTTTTGCCACCCTGAAATTTCACTGAAGTGTTTAAAATCCACTTTTCCTCTCAAAGAAAATTGGAATAGCCAGAGGAAGCCTGAGTTTTATCCTCTCCTGAAATGTGATATGTCTCACTAATGACTTTCAACTTTACATCACAGACTGGCTTAAACCTAAGCCCGATATCTTAAATCCTCCTGAAGAAATGTTGAGACTTTTGACTCCTTGTGGATCTAGAGCTGGAGCCATTCTGAAAATTTTATAACTGACACCACCTTTGTTGGTCAGACCTATTCCAGTGTCATCACCTATAGTGTTTCCTTCCCTTGACAGCAAAATAAATTCCCTTGTTTGGATTCCATGGACTTGAACCTGACCGAGTCCCCTTGAAGTTGTGAAGTGCTGTTCTCCCCGTGGGCCCAGAAGTGTGTATGTTTGAGGTGTAAGGTTCTCCCAGGGTGTGAGAGGGCACCATGTGGTGGCCAGGTTTGTTTGGGTTGTTGGTTCGCTGCTGTCTGGGAGGCAGAGAGAGATGGATGACTGGAAGGTTGCTCAGGGTCCTCCCCTTGAAGGCATATACTGTATACCAGGGGTCTAGCCAGCACCCGTTTTTCCATCAATTGCCAGAACTTTGCAGTGTGTGAGGGACAAATTTTAAAACCAATCTGTCAACCTTGATCTAAAAAAAATCTTGGGTAATAATTTACCAACATCCCTAGATTGCTACTTTCTTCTGATTGGTGCTCATCTTCTGACAGCTGATACGGGATTGGCTGTTGGAAAATCAACCAATCACAGGAAAGTAGGGATCTGTCCTTTCAACTTCTACTTGGAGAGTAGATGCTAGTACTCACTACTGTAATCTGAAAAGAATTGTCAAAGATGGCTGCCAACATGTTCTTTCACCAATTCAGCCAGTAACATTTTCCCCACTAAGTTTACACAATTCAAAGTTTCTGACACCCACGAAAAGGTGAGGAAACGTCTAAAACAATTTAATTGAGAAACATAAGGAGAAAGTTCTGTCTACAAGGTTTTCTATCCAAATGATATTTAATTCATTACAAACAGGACAAGATTGGAAAATATAATATTTTTCCTACTCTTGCCCTGTTTGTAACGAATACAGGGTGTCAAATGAAGCTGTAGTTTAGACAAACCTTTCTAAGAAGTGATGAGGTCTTGCCCTGCCTGCTAACATTCCTATACCAGACCTGTCTAGACCAATAAAGATCAAGATGTTTTTCTACTGCAAAACACAAATTATATCCAGACCCCTAGTCTGTGTATAAACTGCTCAGTTGGAGGGAGCCAAGATCCTTTCATAAGTAAAAGGTTGTCGTTTTAAGTTGAAGGGCAATAATTAAGGTTTTCTCAAGGATTCAAATATTTTAATCTGTTATGAAGTAGAATTAGAGGATAACCTCTTGGCAGGGAAAGGGTTATTGTATAAATGGCAGCCTGTGATGAACTCAGAAGTCTGACCAAAGCTTCCTCTGTCCGTTTCATTTTTCTCCCCATGGTATTATGTTGATATTTCAGGTGAAGTTTAATCTAAGAAACTTAAAAGTAAATCAAATTTAAAGGCATGCAATACAATTTCAGGGTAGCAAAACTGACTTTTCAAAGTCAATTTTATGGTCATTTTTTAAAATGTTAATGTAGTGAATTGAATCAACCCTATCCCATAGCATACTCATATCTGTGAGGCAAAAATGCGATGTCGCTGATGAAAAACAATTCCTTGTGATGTGTCGTAGGATGCATATGGTTCTAGCCATCTAAAAATAAAGAGACGCCTCACATAGCTTGTTTTGGGGGCAATTTAATATGCTTTAAGTATGAAATGATGACAAAATATGATTGAAATATGGCAGTTAAATGTTTACATCAGACAGTTTTCTCACCCAGAATACATTTCGTTTTGCTGCCCTATAATTACATTGGATGTAGCAAACTACATGTAGCCCCGTTCCTTTCAAGTATTCCGAGGATATCTGGAAAATATTTCACCAGTATTTCAACTTCAAGTCAACAATTCTCTGTGCTGCCATAGTCTACAGCACCTCTCTCCCTCTGTACTTCCAGACCAGTGTCAATGGATTTGACCGGCTGGTGTATAACCGTGTGGGGAAGTGTGGCAGTCGCAGTCTCATCACCATACTCAGTGTCCTGAGCAACGTCAATGGCTTCAACTTCGCCAAGGACAACTTTGTCAAGCACTGGCAGACCAGGTTCCCACTTCCTGAACAGGTAGGTCTTGTGATTTTGACAAATGTTTTAAACAATACACATAACAGAAAGCCAGCTACTCTCAGGAGCTTTCGAGATGCAGTCTGTCTCTTCATCAATCCAGTAAAGATCTCATCTTGAAGTTCTCTTGTCACATGACTTGATGTTGATTATCATGTGACAAGAGACAGTCATAAACAGGCTTGAGGTAGTGATAGTCTAGAACTGCCAAGTCTCTTTTGTCCCTAGACACTCTAGATGAAGAGCATCTTGATAAGATGTACAACCTGAACTTATGGAGAGGATGAAAGAGACTGTGCAGGTATATCATATTAATGGTTTGGATACCAGGCTAATCAATGTATTTCTGTCAAAGGTACTTTGTATAAATTAGAGCATGTCCCTTTGTTATGTCCATGTACTAGCTACTAAAGAATTAGCCTGGTAAGGTTAATCAGAGAATTCTGTGCTATTTGCATGTCCAGCAGAAGGGTCACAATACATCATGATGTAGTTACCTCCATGAAAAATGGAGGTATTGTTTTGGGCGCGTCTGTCTGTGTGTGTGTGTCTGTCTGTCTGTCTGTGTGTTTGTGTTTCCGCACATTTGTAGTCGGCATAACTTCATAACGCCTTTACGGATTGTGATGATATTTGGTATGCTGGTAAGTCTTAGGAAGATGAAGGTCAAGGTCAAATATGGGCCTCCTGGTGGATGACCTTGGTACTGCAGCAGAACCTCCGGTTTTTGTATCTTTTGTCCTGAACATGCTATGGTTTTGAATGTTTGGTGACAGATAGATTTTCCTGTCATTAAAGAAGAAATTTACATTATTTTACATATCAAGCCCACATTTCATGGAGGTATGAGATCTCGGAACTCTTGTTGTACAATGTTTGGACACTGACTGGGATGTACTAATCTGTTGTGGATGCACCAACTCCTACCCTCCCACAGATAGACATCAAACCATGTGGAAAATCTGCTTTGATCCATGAGTATTTAGGTCACCAACCTGCTCTAGTTGAAAAACTGGTACATGTCATGATCCGGGTCAATAATTTGCCTGTGGTGGGATTGAAAGCACCTAGCAAATCATTTTTTGTGTCAAACCGTCCCCTCTAGGTATTACTATTTGCCTTACAGGTACTCTTTATTACATCTCTTTTGAATAGCTGCATAACTTATGGCCAGACATCAGAAGTTAGTGCAAAGCATCTGCTGACTTAAATTAAAAAAAAAAACATGATAGGCAGCAAGGCTTTAGTCGGATACTCTTCGTACACATCTCATTTGACTGGAAAAAAGTAAACATTAAAGAATGAAATGAATCCATGTGTTGATAACTCTCATATTTTAGAAATACATGGTCACATATGCCGTGGTATCGAAAAGACAATCTACAAGCAGATCTTTTGGTGGCCAGACAGTCACAATTTTCCAACTGGGCTGTTGAGGATGGCCAGTTCTAACCCACAGTGGGTCTAACCGTAACACTTTTGCGGCCAGGCATCTGCTTGCAGATTATCCAAAAAGGACTGGAGTGTTTTATCCAGGGGCAGGCCACCATCAGACCAAAAACAGCATTCTCCAAAGGTTACATAAACCCAAGTGTCACATACCTTATTGGCACTGCCACTCTATGTATGGGCTTCCGGTAACTAAAAGTGGAAGGGCTGTATAGCTCGCTAATAATATATGTCAACAAACCGCTTTTGAATTTTAGCAGGTGTAATAGACGCTCCTTTGTTGATCAAAGTTTTCTGTCTATGAAGACAGCTTCATTTTTTTTCAAGAAATGGAGATCAGCTTTCTCTTGAAACTGTTTGGCCATTTTGATTGGCAGATAATTGATAGGGCAGTGGCAGGTAAAAGGGGGTTACCCCCCACCCAATTCAAAAGTTGCCAAAACACCAGTCTAATTGGGAGGGCCAATACTCTGAAAACAAACTTTGAAACCAGATAGGGTACAACTGGCAGGCAGACCAGAGCTAATTGGTTGCTTTGTTGAAACAAGAGTACACTACTGATGAACTACTGTCATGAATTAAATGAAATGAAATGTCTAACTACAGGTGCAAGGCTTTAGGTGATACACAAGCTTCAAGAAAACAATGACTGTTCTGTAGCTATAGGCTGTGTTGAAAGGGTGAAATTTAATTTAGATTCTTTTAGGAAATTTGAGTTAAATCATGGCTTGTCTGTTGCAGTAGAAGGTCCTGAAAGGAGAAACTTTAAACTGTATTCTTTCTAACCTTGTTGTCTATAATCATGACTTGTCTTTAGAAATGGAAGGTGTTGAAAGTAGATTTAATTTAGACACCGTTCCTAACCTAATTCTCCATTGAACCAAGGATAAAGACAGTCTAGTTTTCACCCCGAATGATTACTGTGACTGATTTGGTTCCTGCTGTTTCAAGTAATATAGCTTCTTTGCAGGAGGTTGTGACAGAAATTGTAGGGTATTTTCTATCCCACAGGTTTCCACCAAAATTACACAGTCAGCTTCTTCTTAGTGAGAGATTCATAATTCTACGCTATAGCTACGGAGAGAATAGAAGATATTGACTGGTAGTAGAAAATAAGTATAGATCTACACCAAATGATAAAAGTTGACTCACATTTGTAGGTTTCTACATTCAAGTGCTATCAAGAAGCATATCTTGGATTAGATCTACAATTTTTTAAAAATCTTTCATCTGCAGAGGATTGAATTTCGTTCCTAAAAAGAGTGCAAATGGCAGGACTTAGCCAAATTGACAGGCTCTAACTTATGGCAAGAAGGAAGTGTGGTGATTTACACTAGGCGACTTGCTGAAATTTGTCAACATTTGGTGTCAGGTTTGTCTCTGATTCTGTATCAGGACTGGTTTTAGGTAGAGGTCATGGAGCAAGGTCAAGCCGTGCAGCCTTGAAGTGCCTGAGCAGGTCCTAGATCACAGTGGGCTGCCAAGGTGTTGAAGTTGAGGACTTCCAGAGAAAGTTGTTTCTTGAGACGTAATCTATACCTGTACTAATTGTCTTAATGATATGGCAGTCTATGACTGGAAGGAAGGAAGTTTCTTCTTTCCTACACAAGCATTGTGTTGAATTGCAATTTTTGAAGGCCTACTATATATATATATATGTAGCTGTCATTCACAAAGGAGGCCATATATTATATATATACTGTAGCTGTCTTTCACAAAAATGTAGCTCATGTTTTCTCATCCGAAAAACTATTTTAGTTAGGAAAATTCAAGTGGGGAGGGAAGTAGTCAGACTATAGTGGCATACCAGACTAAGACAGACAGAAGGGACTGTACTGTAAATCACTTGATGTTCGCAGTAGCAAAAGTTTTTGGTCTGAGAAAATGAACATGTTCACAGAAGTACATATATGTATATGTTCGCAGTGGTGGCAGGTGCAGAAAAAAGAAAGTAGGCATATTATTCGTTCACGGTAATGACAAGTTTGTGGTACAGAAGAGACAGCGAAATAAAAGTACAAAATGTACCATGAATGAATTACAGTAATCAGCCTAAGGCAGGGAGACTGTGTAACACATAGAGCACTTTGGTCCAGTTTGGAGGAAAGGTTTGACTTGAAAAGTGAAGTGAAGAGAGATTTACGACGTAAACTTTAAAGGTCTCGTTTTTGGCAAGTTTTCATATGCTACAAACTCTTGGGTTTCAATTATCTTGCAGGGCAACGTATTTAAACTTCAGCTAGATAATGAACTTGGGGACCACCCAACGACAATTATTTTCTTTGGTCTCATTTCCTCTCTTATCTTAGTTTTTCTATTATGTCTGTTAGCCAGTGTTCCTTCTGCTAGTCTGGTATTTTATTCTACCACCCCAAATCCATACCACTCTCCCTGCAACCTTTAAAATATGAAGCGTATGAAGATGTTTTCCTGGTACAGTTGGCCTTTTTTGGGGGTCTGAGTTTTCCCTGGAGGGTGTACTAGAGAGTTCTAAACCTAAGTGTATGACCCGGAACCCCCCCCCCCCCTACTACCCCCCCAAAAGCTAACTGCACCGGGAAAAATCGGCACACCACCCCAAATACTGACTGCTCCTGGAATGCCTGCAAAGGAGGCTAGTGTACATTGTACATACACTGTATAGTACAGCCATTCAGTGACCATGCCTACTGAATGATTACACTAATGATATGGTGATACTGGCAGATATATGGGAATGATTGGTACAATATTTCCATAAATCTTCTTAGGGACCAAGTGCCAGCTATGGCTAGACAGGGATATCCAGCTTATTAAAAGTTATTGATTGATATCTTTGGGCAGAAGATAGCAAGAAGGCTGACATGCATATGGTATTCATTATCTCATCACAGACTATTATCTAAGGACTCAGAACTAAATCCAATCCATTTGATGCTTCCAAATGTTACTCAGTCATTTGGGCCTGCTCCTTTTCCATATACATGTGTACATTGTAGCTCTCTTTATGTCATACCTGGGCCATGATGATAACATTTGATACAGGTGTTTTGAAACAGAGATTCAGAATCAAAACACAAAAGGGTGGATAATCAGACAAGTTAACACTGCATAGCTGGCACAAACATCGGAAAGAATGGAATTTGTGACAACCACAAAATATAAAAGTACTGCGAATAAATCATGATTTTACAATATAACACTTGTACAGCAGACATACATAGCATGGGTGCCATCCTCTGTGATATTCGCTGGATCCCTAATGTCGCTGGCTACTAGCCTCCACCAGGCCATCCTGGGGGGGGGGGGGTACGGATCCTACAATTCAGTAAAAAAGGGAAATAGTTGACAAGGAGAGTCAGTCTGCGAGAGGGTTAATTCCCCCGTGGGCAAATGAACTGGCTAAACTCTCATATTCTTCGTGTTGGTTGACTTTTAGTTTTTACTTCTTTTTTGAACCAGCGTTGTTAGTCTGGTGGAGAATAGCTGGCTACCATGTGGTACAGCAGACCTCCCATCCCTTCCTATCATCCCAGGTCCACTTGAGATAAGGTGGTCAGTGTTTACTGTTCTGGCCAAATTTGCCACCTCTCAGTTTGCAGTGTTGATGGGACAACAGTGGAGGAACTGTCTGGTATTTTGTACTTCTTGTTGTGGCAAGTCTATCTTTTTTTCAGCTGCTGCATATGTAAGGATAGATTAGGGAAGATGGTGTCATTGGGATTGGTTTTGGTGAAGTACTTGTTGATGTAAAGGCATTCAATGACTGGGTGCAATTTCAGGGGGGGGGGGGCAAAAGTGGATTTTCAAAGTCAATCCATCCCAAATTTTTGACTGTGCCACTTCCATCTCTCACTGTATACCCCCACACTTTGTTTCCCTAGATATTATTAGGATTTACAGAAAACACCTTGATACCTTGATACGTCTTCGGGATGATGAGGCACTGCCTGTAGTAATCCCGGTCTCATACTTTACTCAAGAAGTGTTGTACTTCTTAGTAAAATGGAAGAGACACTGCAAAAACTCAGAAAATAAAATCACAGTGAACATTTGGAGATCTACAGTATATTGTGGACTGGAGGTTTATCCTAGATCCAATTAAACCAACTGGTATAAAGCTATCCCATCAAAAGTTATGAGGGTCTCCCATCTCACATTCCACACTATACCAACATTTGCTTCTAATTTCTCCCAGGAATGGAGTCACATAACATGTCTGGTGGCCAGTGGAGAGCTGACCTGGTCCTATCAACTTTATGTCAGGGTTTATTTTTGATTCCTGCAATGCCCCTCCCAATATCTGGGCAGCAAGTACTGTACTTCACTTTATATTCGCAGTACCAAAAGTTTGTGGTACGAGAAAAAATTCTGTGTTCGTAGTGGTAGCAGGTGCAGAATAAAGTAAAGTTGGCAAATTATTTGTTCACAGTAATGATAAGTTTGCGGTACAGAAGTGACAGCAAGAACAGTGAAGTACATGTACAGCAGCAAAAAAATTGTGAATTACAGTAATAAGTTCAAATTCTTTCCTTTCTTGATATTTGAATATTGGGGACATGGAATAGTCTCCAAGCAGATTTTTTGGTGGCTGCAAGACCATATCAAATTGACAAGACAGTAAGAAATTGACAAGACAGTATCAAATGGGCAAGACAGTTAATCCATTTGTCACCCATTTGCAGTTGGGCTGGTGCAGAAAAAAAAGTTACCATAGCATAAGAAAAGAATGCCAGATAAAAACACCTAAATCTCGTCAACTTCTACAGTTTTGAAGCTATCAGAGATAATCCTAGGGCAAAAGAGAAAGCTGTGCCTATCCATATTGTGTTGAACGTCCTTGATACTTGTATGTGCAGTGAAAAATATATCAAAAGGTGTCATTTTTTTAACACCATAGTGATAACCAGTTTGGTTGATGTGACACATGCCAGGAACAGTTATTGATGAGTTTTTATAACTTGACTGGCACCAAGGGTACCATGAAATAATTCACACACACACATAAATGTCTCACTGTTGTGCATGCAAGGTTATGGCACATACTTGAACTGTCTCTTGGAGGGTGCTGTAGAAGAATATAATTTATAAAACTCATAAAAGTCATATTGCATGCGTTATATATCTGTATAGAACGATAGACAATTGGATGCTTGAAGGGGTGTAAGGACTTTTGTCAGTATTTGGGGCGCAGAACCAAATCAGTTAATTGACTGCACGGAAATGACTTCTGACCTCCGACCTGAGGTCGCATTCGGTTTCCGTTCTAATAGCGTGCTTAGTGCAGTCACTCTAGCAAATCCTCGAAAAAATCCTTCAAAAATTCTCGTTCAAATCCGACAAGATTCAGGGATGATTCCATGGACCCACTCTCTCCCTAACCAACCCATACCCCCTGTCATGTTTGCGTACTTCTAGCACTTGTGTCAAAAGTCACACTTGGGTCAGAGGCTCCATGGAAGATCAGTTTTGTTGACTGAGCTATTATCAGTCCTTTTATGCCAGTGGATTAAACCATTAAATCTGTTGACCATCTGTTACCTCCGAAAAATAACAGGAGGGTCTTTGATCCAGCTCACAGCAGTATTGCACTACTGTTACAGCGGCTCCTTGTAGACAGATATGTTTGTTTGTTACCAAACTGTGTGAAGATGGCAGCCAGGAGTCAACTGCCCATGAAATAATCTCTCACAGATGTAATGATATCTCTGCTGGAGACTATGGCTCTATTTAGGCCACACCAATTTAATTTCTTGGTTAACGGATTCACCGCTTAATTTTTTTCTGATATTTTCATATTTTATATATTCATATTTTGCCCTGAACAGTTGAAAACAGTCCTTTTCATCCTAGTTGTTACAGTTATTCCATCTTTCAGTGCAGTGGTATCATTAATAAAATTTCAAAATTCATTGTTTAAATTTTGAACCAGCCTGGTGTGTTGACTTCATGGCTCCATGAGTATCATACCATTTTGGGCCATAATAGGATGCCTAGGCCTGTTTTTATTTTCTTTTTTTTTTTTGCCCGCCCGCTCCATTATTTTTCTAGAAAAATCCGTTTATTAAATTTGGTGTGGCCTTACGCATAATTTGTCATCATAACCTCTCTTTATATATCTACTAAGCTGCAATACATCTCTTCAACTTGCATACTAAATTCCTCTGACTATAATGTGATTCTAATTTGGTAAAAAAACATGATGTAAAGAGAGCATATGTACTGTTGTGTACAACTACAAGAGCCTGATTTGCATTGAAATGTAGCCTCTACCAGGCTCCCAGAAGTGGCTGGAAAGAGTACAAGTTTCAGGAGCAGCAACATGTACATGTACATTTGTACTCTGTAGTGGACCAACTCCCCTGGTATGTTTATATAATGTTATCTGTCTTTCTTGCTGATTTCTACTCTTTCCACCCACTTCTTGAAGCCTAGTATTAAAATGTAGTTTTCTTGGGGACCACAATGGCCTGAAATCCTGTGACTAGGCTAAACAAGGCTGGATCCAGACCTCAAGCTATTCACATGCCTGATGTGACATTATGAGATCTACCAGTAAATCAGGTCATGTCCTTTTTCCAAGGAACTGCATCAGGAAGCAGGAAGGACTGTGTGTCTGATATGATAGATAGCTGTAGGGCAGATATGGCTGGGATTTCATGGTCTGTACATAGGGTCATCAATTATTTTTCAGTGACATACACATGATGTAGCGGGGGATGGAATACTGTATTTCTGTTTTCTGCACCACATCATTTCATCCAGATAACAGTTGAGCTTGAAGAATTGCTAGTTGTTGCAAATAACTAGTAAATAAATAGATAAATTACATATTCCGCTTTGTACAATGTAACAGGCTCCTTGCACTCAGAAAACCTCTGATACATCTGCAAACACATGATTCAAATAATAATTCATCCTTTATAAACATAACTGTGACTGATTATTGCTGAGATCTAGACTATAAAGTGGAAGATAATGTTGATAAACTCTTTATCTGTCCAACATCAACTTGTTGATCTGTCAGTATCAGTTCATAAATTACAGTTGGATATTTTGCCTACTGTCAACCCTCACAATCACTCAATCAGTGTATAGTTGTCCCAAGTTAATGGTGGGTAAAAGTACATGTAGTTGTACTAGTATTCCAAAGAAGAATGCCTGCTGGAAGTTATCAAGGTCGGAATTTCGGGATGCCCTCAAGGAATTTCTTGCTCAAGGAACGCTGTGAGTTCTAGTGTCTGAGGATGATAATAAAACCCTGAGACATGTATCTAACCTGTTATGGCAATGGTTTTGTAAGTAAGATTAGGTTAGTTACATGTAGCCTCTACCAGGCTTCAGGAATTCGAAGTGGCTGGAAAGAATAGAAATCGGCCATAAAGTCAGATAACATACCAGGGGAGTTGGTCCATGCTATGAGAACATAAATTTGGGAGCAGCAAAATGTTCTTTTAGTGCGGAACAACTCCCCTGGCATGGTTATTTGTCTTTCTAGACAATTTCTACTCTTTCCAGTTGCTCCCCAAAGCCTGGTAGAGGCTATTAAAGATTAGGTCATAAAGGACTTATCCTTGCACCATCCATTTGCCCACCCAGTCATATACATTGTAATCTGTTTTGCATTAAAAACTAGAGTTCCACGATCTCATACCTTCGCCAAATGACATTAATCTTTATGAATGACAAATTATAGATTACTCCCCCTAATTTTGCAAATTTGCATAAAATATGTTAGTAGCAAGGGGGCCCAATCTCACGTCACTAAGTCTTCCTCCCCATAACAAGAGCTACTTATCATTCAAATTTCGTGACTCTAGTATGTTGTATATCATGAGATATCAAAACCAGAAGTTCAGCTGCAGTACCATATGAAGCCGCAAGGGGGCCCAAAATCTAATCATTCTGAGGTCTCACCAACACCTACATGTACCCACCTACCAAATATCAAGTCAATCATTTAATAAGCCTTCTCAAGTTATCTGACATACAGACAGACACACAGACAGACACACACATGAACGCCTCTGAAAACATAACCTTCTTGGCGAAGGTAATAATAAAAAACAGCAACTCCACATACAGGTTATTGGTGGCGTATTGATCTTGACATCTTTGTTTTTCTTTACCAACCCAGATTGCCTTGGTTCAACACGTGGACCAGATACAGCCTCCCTTCTTCTACAACAGACATTTCCACTACATCGACTTCACCAGGTATGTGCATTTGGGTACTGTAAATCACTTAATGTTCCTGGTAGCAAAAGTTTGCATTCTGAGACAAATGGTCATGTTCGTGGAACTAAACATTCGTGGTGGCGGCAGGTGCAGCAAAAGAAAGTCGGAAAATTATTTGTTCATGGTAATGATAAGTTTGTGGTGCAGAAATGACAATGCAAAGATAAAAGTACCGCGAAAAAAATTGTGACTTACAGTATGCATACTGCAATGCAGGCCTGACTGTATTTGTGGTTAGGCCACACCAATGTAATCAATTGGTTCTCAGGTTGCCCCCTTCATTTTTTTCTGATTTGCAAAAAAAGAAAAGTATTCAGGTTCCAAGTTAACTTTGTTATGCTCATATTTTGACCCCAACTCTTGAAGAAAGTCCTTGCCTTCGTACTTATCCTAGTTACAGTTTTTCTATCAGTCAATATGTAATACTAATTTGATTAAAAGTTCAAAATTCATTGAATTATAAACCTGCCAGCCAGGTGTATGTTGACTTCATGGCTCTCATCGTATTAAGGCTATCAAATTAGGCCTAAGCTTGTTTTCACTTTCACCCTGTTGCTTCATATTTTTTCAGAAAAAATCTGAGAACCAACAAATCAAATTGGGGTGACCTTATGGTTGGGATCATCAAATATTACAGGATGGTTTCATCCTCTTGTTTTTCTCAAAACGTGACTACCAAGAATTTAAGCAAACACATATGTACACCTTTCTAACTCTGAAATTCATCAAATATAAATACTGAAAGATGTCTAAATTTGAACAAACCAGAAAATGTGCTTTCAGTTAGACCTGTCTTCTTTGAGTTAAGACCGTATCAAATTGAAAAGTTATAACATGTCATTAAGTTTATCACTTCCCCCAACTAATCTCTACATAAAAGAAAGAAGATGTCCACTTGACAGAACCCACACCACCACAGAACTTATGACTGTCTTAAACACATCTGGTAGATATTATAGCCCTGTCAAGTATCTATCATTACATGTATGCATCCACGAATGCAGCTAGTACTTACAATTACCGGTACTAACTTATATTCGTGAGACGCGAGCACAAAATCCCTGCTAAAATAGCACCCCCAAATAGCAAAAAAGAACAAATTTATAAGTTTAATTGCAGTCATGATTTTTATAGACATGACAAGTATGTGTGGGCTTTAGTTAGCTACAGGCAGTACCTGTAGTTCATCATCATCATCTTTCACTGTGTTCTGCGTCTACAGTCGCGTAGAGATGTCCTGTAGCCGCATCCAGTCTTTCTTCATCTCTTTCCACCGTGCCTTCTGCCTCGCGAGCTCTCTAAGCTCCTTGAGTTTCTTTTCTGTACATGTAGTTGGCAATGAATAAGTACAGATTTCTGTCTATATCTAACCTTTTGAAGCTGAGAGTATGACGCAAAATCAAAGGATGGCTTTTTCATTTTACTTCGCAACACCTTGCCTTGTCACAGGTCAGAGACATTCTAAGGCCCCTTTTACACGTGCATCGTTTATATGTGTCGGACGTGGCTCGTCGTCCGCATGTGCACGGCGCCGCACTGTGCGTTTTGTGCGACAGATTTTTTTTAGCGTGTAAACAACCTCCACCACCGCTGCGTGGTGCCGCGCGTCATTTTTCTGTGGCACATCCAGGAGGTGCCACAGGAAAACTGCCGTTGCAGGTTGTTTACACGCTAAAAAAATCTGTCGCACAAAACACGCCGTGCGGCGCCGTGCGCGCGCACGTGTCGTTCCACGCCCGACACATATAAACAATGCACGTATAAACAGGGCCTAAGGGCCTGACACCTACATGTACCAGTTTCATACACATATTTTATGGTGTAAGGATAATGAGAGAGGTACATAATATATGACCAAGGATTACATGTAGTTTCCAGCATGTGGAGTTGGGTAGACAAATCCCCTGTACCTGGTTATACCATCACAGTTCTGTGAACTCCCATTCTAAAACTAGGCCATGTGTGGTAAACAGGTTTTACGGCCGTTATATATGTTGTCAAAGGTTGTGATTTCAATTTGCTCAATGTTCTTTCCAGAGTTTCTGCCAAAAAAGTTTGTCCTATTCGTCACGTCCAAGTTCCCTGGAATGTTGAATGCCTTGACCAAGATCATTTCCCATTCAGGTCCAGATGTTTGGACCAGTCTTTGACACGTATGTTATTTATTGTGAAGCCTACAGCACCATAGGTATATAATAGGTAGACCTGTACTTGGAGTTTGTTCAAGTCTGTGACATTTTGATGCAGAGCGGCTTCAAGTCTCCTGTAGCTGATCTCTCTATAATAGGTCAATGACTGTGTGTCTGTTTCACGCTGTGATTCTGCAAAACACATGCAGGTCATGGAAAGTCCTTGTTTCTCATCTAGACATTGCCCAAAAAAGTATGCAAAGGAAGTGTGTGTGTATATATTTTAGAGGTTGTTTTTTCTGAAGAAAAAAAAAAAGGAAGACAAGATAGGGGCCAAGATGAAAGAAAAATAAACAGATGGATAGTACTAGTCTTTGAAAGTTTTAGACAATAGATCTAGAAGGCATGTAAGATAAATAAACTTTAACTTGTGATAAAAGGTACTATAGGGGTTATTTTACATAAGCCTGAGTGTCAGCCATTTTGGCTCTCGTCCGCTCCACATTCCGCTACTGGTTGTTTTTTTACGTAGCCTGGATGCTACATGTACATGTATACCCATAAGGCATAACATGTAGGTCCACCCCGTTCACACTCAAAAAAATGATCCGGATTGTGGGTCAATTTGGATCAGAATTCATCAATCCAGATATTTTTTGCAGTGTGAACGCTCCAAATCGGATGAATTTTCTCCGAAACGAATAAACCACCTTGAGGAGGTAGTTCTGTAATTAACCAAGATCAGAGAAGGTGTTTGCAGCGGATTCAGATCAGACGAAACAACAACGCAATGTGTCTTGGCTTCCGACTTGTTTCGCTGTTTTTTCCCAAATTTACTATCAAGGTGAATGGGGAACTGTGGTATAATTTCCTCGGACTTTGTTGGAAGCATGTTGGCCATAGAGTTGAGGAAACTCACCAGGCCCTGGAAACAGTTTGGCACCTAGGCTAGGCCTATTGTCAAACTGCCATCTTGTTCCTACATGATGCTGACCTAACAGTTAGCTACTAACCTGTTTTACTAGTGTTTGTTCCTCTGGGCAGGTGTTATCTTGAGTTGAGGTAACCACTGAGGTGTTAGTAATAATTGAATGTCTTCCATTGTAAGGCCTGTCTGACCCAAACTCACCTGGCTAATCTCGCTCCAGGCAGATCTCACACTGGTGTAGATTTGTCTGGCAGCCACAAGTAATTTTGGAAAGAGGACTTTTGAAGACAATCAAGACTTCAGTTTGAGAACTTTGGTTTAGTTCCAATGCTAAGGCTTTCATGTTTTTGTAATTTCATAATTTCCCAATAACTGTCCTTTTAAAACAGTTTTTGGCCATTTTTATCAGGCAGCTGTCTTTAACTCTGCACCAACTATTGTCTTTCCCAACAATGGATGCAACAAAGTGTTGCTGATTTGTGAAAGTCCATAAACTGAGTGAAAGTTTAACCCAGATTTGAGCCAATTTACATACTGTACAATGTAATTGCAGGGTTCTAGCTAGTGCAAAGTAGCATAGGGGCCCCCTACACTATAATTTTGACCCCCTATGCTAAATTTTCCCCCCTACGCTATAATTTTGACCCCCTTGCTAAATTTCCCCCCTATGCTAATTTCTAATACAGCATAGGGGCATTGTGACTGTATTTCTTTGTTCAAGAATGCCAGATCAAATGTGAAAAATCAAGGATACATTGTACATATCTTAGAAATAACATTTTTTCCCTTTGGGTATCCCTCAAATGGCCTCTTTTTAAGCTCAATTTTTTAAAAGCTCTGCTTCGCTCCCTCATCACGCGGCCAGTGCCACTACGCTAAAATTAAATCCTAGCTAGAACCCTGACTTGTACATTGTAATATCACTCTGAGGAAGAAGAGAAATATGTGGAATTTCCATTCCTTTGTTCATAGGCAAAAGAGGATAAATGGAAGTGCTGTTAAAGTTCTGTGAATGCTATGTACAATGTTATAGATGACTTGTAGGGACAGGTCACCACAGGTCACAGCTGGAAGTTGACAACATGGCTGTAATGGTCAGGAGGAAGGTTCCAGTAGTACATCTTGAAAGGATTTTCATTCGCACGGGTCTCCTATGTCCTTCTAGTAGAAGAGAGTGAGAAAGATTAGAATGTTTTTGTAAGTGTTCAGACTCAGAGTAAGGTCATGCCATTCAAGGTCCCATGTATTTGACTAATGTTTTCCTAAAAGAGAAGTTATAGAGCCATGTTCTTGTCCACATTTTAGATTTGTCCTACAAAATGATAGAAAATATCGGAATGATGACTTCATCCAATGTACCTCACTGGATAATATTAATGTTATGGATATATGATGATGATGACTTAAAGCTAGATTCTTTTTCCACATTAATAAGGTATAATGCTCATAACTGCACGCCGTGCATGGGATTCAATGGTGTGGAGAGATCTGTCAATCAAAATGGTGTATAAAATCAAAGCAATGGCAGCAATTTCTGACCCAGAGGTTTTTCATAGTCATTACATATCACATGTTTTAACTCCTGACAGCCGAATCTAACATTGAGTCACAGATGTAGGAAAAGAAAGCATTATTATGCTATGTTTGGTTGGGGTATCTCACTGGCACCATTCCTTTGGTTGAATACTGCATTACCTGGATAGGGATATCTGCTTCAAAGAAAAAGTACTGTAATTCAACATTTTTTCACAGTAGTTTTATGTTCGCAGTTTTCTAGGTCACTTCTATACTGCAAACTTATCATTACCGTGAACAAATGATTTGCCAACTTTCTTTCTTCTGTACCTGCTGCCACCGCAAACACATAGTTCGGCGAACATGTCCATTTTTCTCAGACTGCGAGCTTTTGTTATAGTAGGCGCAAACATAAAAGTGAATTACAGTATCCAATTCCTTTTGGTTTGGACACTGCATGACCTGGGTAGGGATATCTGCTTCAAAGGAAAAGCAATGCATGATGCATAATTATGGGGTTCTTTATATAGTGGAAAACTCTTGTTCCTTCTACTTTGTTCTGTCTCTCTCTCTGTGTGTCTCTCTCTCTCTCTCATCCCCCTTTCTGATTTCCTGCTCATTCATTCACCCCCTCTCTCATTCATCATTCTGTATGGGATACATGCTGAAATGATTATGCAGATGACTAGTATACATGTATCTAACTAGAGTTCCCCGATCTCATACCTTCGCCAAATGACTGACAAATTATAGATTAGATTATTCCCCCCTGATTTAAGAAATAGGAACCTAATTTTCATGAATTATATCATTTTATCATAATCTCAACCAAAAGACAGTCTTATATAAACAAACAAGGCATTCTAGTATTCCTAATAAATTATGCAAATGAGGTCCTGATTTGAATAAATTATGTTTAATGATGTTCACCTCAACTAACTTTCAAATACCATAAGTATGAAATTA